TGATATCGTCCTTGACCTTTGTGCATGAACTATATGTAAAAACGTGCTTCCAAGTATTTGCGAGTCTCATACTTTGTGGCAACATCCGCAGCTGACATTTTGACTGTAAAAATGTTATGTCTTTGCAATCATATAGATGATTTGCAGCTATTCATACATCGTGGAGAAACAACCAATTGGAAAGTTGTTATTTCACGATTTCTGTGAAGCTACCAACAACCAGTACTATCAATCTTGTGTGTTTCTGAATAAGGTATAGAGTAATTCTATTAGATGCCTGGTTAACGGCTAAAAATTGTTTTGAAAGGTCGAAGAGTACGAGACATCCGATGATGACGTTCAGTGTCGGCGAAAGCTGGCACGAGCCATTGCCGGACTTCTTGCCCCCGGCGGTGATACCCCTTCAGTATGTTATATCGATTTCTCTATGATTTAAGCCGCCTAATCTTCTGTTTATAGTCGTCACAACATGACCACAGCCCTTGGTGTTCATTTCTGCCTGAAAATGTTGTTAATTCTGTTCTTGCCGCTGCCGATTCTGCCACGCATGACCAAGAGCCACGATCGGATCTTTTTGCTGAGGCCTACAAGTATGTCGACTGCTTCTAATTTTCTTTCTCCGAGTTTTTTGTTGTCTTTTATTGGAGACTTATTGCCCAGTTTTTTTCGAACTGCTTGTGTTTCTTTCATATTTTCGAGTTTCTTTGATCACTACATCTGTTTGTTTACTCGAACGCCCCCTTATCTGATAATGTGATAGAACTTATTTGGCAAAGTTGTTTAACCCATTGGTGACGATCTGGACCACAGCACAATGATTTCTCCTTAAAATTGATATTTTGACGCCCTTGCCTTTCGACTGGGTTTTCGATAAATAATCCTGCAGCACTATTTCCACATTAATCTCAGTATCCTCAATGAAGTACTCGCCTATGATGGGCAACTCATAATCCATTGCTGTATAAGCTGTGCAAATCCATCGTCCTCAAGGGGTTGAAAGCAATATCAAAGATTTAGCTACAACGCAAGCCAATGCATGTTTATATTCAGATTGGTTCGTGCTTATCTGGCAGACCAACCCTTCAAACAATTCCTCGATTCCATCCAATTTTACCGTTACCTGCAATGGAAATGGCTAGAAAAACGACCTGTTGATAAGCACACGTTTAGGCTCTACAGAGTTCTTGGAAAAGGTGGATTCGGGGAAGTATGTGCATGTCAGGTAAGTGCTATGTAATACTGTGGTTTCTGCTGCTTGAAATTGTTTTTTATTCCCATGTATGTATAGGCTGCTGCATGACGAAGGCGCAATATCCTTTGGCGCGAACGCGGCTTTATTA